TGAAGGGGAGGAGGCAGAACAAGTAAGTTGGAATACACTTTGAGCAAACAAAAGCAATGTGAGTCTTGACAGAGATTAGATATGGGAACCCTTTTAAGATGTGACTGGCCTATACACAATTCCTAACTCCTGGCAAGTTTCCAGATTTCTACTTAGAGAAATCACCAGGCAGCTGCCTGGGGTGTTTGCTTGTAGTGGTTCAAAATGCCTGCTGGATGGAAGAGACAGCTCCTCCCCCTTTCCCCCCAGGAATTTTATCTGGCCAGGTCACCTGATTGATCTGGACAAGGGACCAGAGCTTCCACTGCTCTTGCTGGCCAAGCTGGAGTCAGAGCAGGATCCAGAGCCACTGCATGGGCCAGGCAGGAGAGGCATGGGGAGGGTGGGGCAAGTGGTAAGGAGGACTTTAAAAAGTAACTAATATTTTGCTGTAAGACCTTCACAGGATATGGATTGGAAGTGATGTTTCCCGCCTCTCAAGTAAGTTTTCTAAAGACCAGGCTATAGGATAGAGGTGGGCAAAATATGGCCTGCAGGCTGAATCTAGTCAACTAAGGGATTTAATCTGGCCCGCAGAGGGCCTGGCTTCCTGTTTCCATGCTGCTGTTTTTTCTACTATAGCAGTGAGAGGGATAAATTTAAGACAAATCTCCGATAATTAGATTCTAAACAAGGAAAATTATAATACATTTATATTCTAATTATTGGAAAGATGTCTTAAATTTAAGTCATCTTGAATTTGGGTAAATACTGTATTTTATATAAAATATTTAAACACACAGTAAGATGGCAGGAGGTGAGGGGGAGTAGCCTAGCAATAAGGACAGTTGGCAGGGAGGCTGGATATGTGGATTCTGGTGAATGTTTGTGTAGACAACACAGAACAATATCAACAGAAGAGATGGCTATAGGAATACCCTTAATCCTGGTGGTTAGAATGCTCCCTGAGGAGGTGACAGAGAAGGGAATTGAACTAAAGTCTCTGCCGTCATGAGTGAGTTCACCAATCCCTGAGCTATTTGGCATAAAAAGGAAAATTGCCACTACCGTTGAAAAAAATCAACTGAAAATATTCATTAGCTTGGACTCTAATTCAAGAATAGTTTGCTAAATATGAAACTACATTTCTTGATGAATGTGGTAGTCCTCAAAAAAACCCAAACCCTTTGTTCTACTCTCTTCCTTTTGGAGCCAAGCTCTAGGGAAATGCTGACTATATACTACAACCCTGGCATCTGTGAGAATGGGAGCTTTCCATGGTTTCAAGTCAACACCCCTCTCATATTAAGATAAATATCTCCCTTGAGAAGAAGAAAAAGACTCTGCCAGGTGAATCTCACGAGTTCTTAGCATGAAGATTTTTTTTCCGTCTTCCCATGGAAAAAAGAATGGGAAGGAGGTGATTGGAACTAATATTTCTTTAGACTTTCATTCTTGGCACTATTAAAAATGCTCATCATTTGACTTCATAAGGAATACTGTAGTAAATGTAGTAAGTTAATGGTGTGCACAATGTCATAAAATATTATGAAAGTCCAAAAAGTGCCCAAGGCAGAGTAAGGCAAGCACAAGGAATTAAGTATTATTTATTCACTGTCTTCAGCAGGGCAAGTTCACTTTAATAAAAATGTATTGTAGTGAGTAATGAAAAACCATTCCTTGCCAGTGTTACCAATACATTTTTCACAAAGCTAGTAATGAGGGGGTGGGGGGGAGTGGGAGAGAGGGGAACAGAGGGGAAGAATCTCTCAATAACAGTCAGGTGTTCCTAGTACCGGTGTTCATCAGTTGCCGACATCGTTAACCACAGGGTACTACTAGGTCACTTGAAAAATGTATCTGTCTCTGTTACATATTTGCTCCACTCTGCTAATTCAGATCTCTGACTTGAGAACACTCATCTGGAATCCTATAGAGAGTCCTATCATCCCCTCTTCCCTTCAACATTTGTATCCTTGTTGGGGGGAAATATAAGAGGTAATGGATTTTAGTTTTAGCCTTATGCAGACAATATCCACGCATGGACAGTGGTATCAATTGGTTCTCTAAACCAAAAGAAGTAATAGGAG